GTGGCTGCCCCATCCCTGGCAGTGTTGAAGGGCAGGTTGGATGGGGCTTGGAGCAGCCTGGGCTGGTGGGAGGTGCCCCTGACCATGCACGGGGTTGGATCTAGATGATCTTAAGGTCCCTCCCAACCCAAACCATTCTGTGATTCTATGACTCCCCCTCCTCCCAAATCTCTCTGAACAACTAAAAAAAACCCCAATGCAGAAGGTGGGAGGGGTGCTGTGTTCTGGTGGCAGCCCCCACGACAGGCACTCACCCTGGGGGAGCTGGAAGACGCTGGGGGGGAAGCGGTGGCTGAAGGAGGAGTACTGGATCTCATAGTGGTCGTAGTGGGAGCCCAGGAGGTGGTTGAAGCCGCGCACCTCGTAGTGCAGGGGCCGGGGGCCGTGGGCAGAGCTGCCCACCCACAGGGTGTAGATGTTCTTCTTGTGACCCCAGGAGGAGATGTTCTGCCAGACGGCGCAGGGCTGCCCACGGAAACGCTCCTCCCGCACCCACTGGGCACAGAGCACGTGTTGGGGACCAGGGGGGACCCGCCGGCACCTGGGGAGCCCCCCCGTGGTGGTGGCACCCCAACACCTTCATCACCCATGGCCACATCCAGCCTTGAGTTTACCCAGCCAGAGAAGGTTGGTTTGCCTCCTCAGTTGCACCCCATACCCATGGGGGGTTCCTTGTCCCCTCCCCTGCCCCACATCTCTTGAACAGGCTGCCCAGAGAGGTGGTGGAGGCTCCATCCCTGGAAACATTCCAGGTCAGGCTTGACCAGGCTCTGAGCAACTTGACCTAGTTAAAAAGGTCCCTTATGCACTGCGGGGGGGGGCTGGGGTAGATGACCCTAGATGAGGAGATGACCCTTTCCAACCCTGTACGTTCTATGATTCTGTGGTCCTGGAGGACCACGTTTGGAGCTCACCTTGAAGTTCTCCAGACTGGGGAAGACACTCTGTGGGGTGATGAGGTCCCTGTCGGTGCCGTTGATGCGGAAGCACCTGCGGACATTGACCTCTGTCTCCGTGGTCTCGGGGGTCACCTTGAAGCTAGCACCAAAGGGCTTGATGGAGCCAAACTGGTAGGTGACAACTTGACCTGGGGATGGGGGACAGCGCTGAGGTCAAGCCAAGCCCCCGGATCCTGGCGTGGTGATAGCTCCTGGGGCTTTGCAGGAGCACCCAAAGGTCCTGGGGCAGAAGGAGGGGGCTGGCGAGGGGTGGGTGGTGAGGAGGGGCTGGT